TCGTCAGAATCCACCATGATGCCTAAACGAAAATACTAAACAGAAAACAAAAATAGGTGAGACAACGAACACGGTAATACATATAATACAGGTGATACGTATAATACAGGTGATACGTATAACACGGGTGATATGCATAATACATGTTACACTGTTACACGTATAACACGGGTGATACATATAATACACATTACATGCATAACACGTGTTACACGCGTAACATGTATAACACGCGTAACATGTATAACACGTGTTGCGCGCTGACTGAGGTACTTACATGGTTCAGTACTGGTCCCTACAGAAAGTGGTTGACAATGGTAAATTCAAGGCCAGATCTTCCACAGGCTTCGTCAGTGAGCCTTCAGAAGTATATGAATGCAAAGAGAATGGTCTGTGAGCTTGACAAAGCTGATAAAGAGAGTGGGGGAGGAGAATGAAGAAGGAGATGAATGGAGAGAAATCCTTCTATCTTTCCACAGAAACAGTCTTCTTGGCTTCAACAAAGCCATACACATTGCCTACTTACCCACAATGATGGTATATCTTCAAATAAAACAGAAACCTCTGTATCCTTCAAAGCAACAAGAGGAGAGAGGTTTATCTCATGGTGTGTGTTGTGGAGATTGGTGGAGATTGGTGTTGAGCCATTTTGCGAACGGTCACTCGAACGGTCACGGTGGCTGGCTGGCGACCGTGTAATACGTGTTATACGTATTATACGGGAATACGTAGAATACGCATTGTACGTATTACATGTATTACATCGCGTGCGTTTGAGGGTCTCTCCATGGAAAACGCATGCGAAGGCTAATAAGGGACGGATGAGAATGCCAATGAATCAAATCTGAAAGAAGCCAGTGGTGCTGACTGAACCAAAGCTGAAATGGTTGTTGCGCGGTTCAACTCGAATCCGTAATAGTAGTCTATCCCTAAAATCGAATCTTTTCAAGTGAACTAAGGCTTTTATAAGCACGTTTCACGACTCGACCTTGTCTTCCTCACACAAAACCAAAAAATGGTCCGTTCGATTTCGCTTTTTGCTCCCTGCCATCTTTCATCATCTTTATCTGTTACATGTACTTGTACTGTATCCATTGATTGGGTTCTTGTATCATCTACCTTCCTTGTGTTGAGACGATTTTTAAAAATGCAGATGAAGATGAAACGAAGAAAGAATTCCGAGAGTCGATGCCTAATAGCCGCGGCAACATTCATCATGATCCTTGTTCTGTTGGTTGTACGCGAGACCTCGCTACTCTTCCTGTTTCAAGGGCAGGTCCAATCAATGCCAGCGACAAGGGTTTCGCAACAGGAAGATTCTGACAAAGAGGAGAGTCCAAAACCTGGTGACGTGTTTGTTCCTGGATCCCTTTCGCTGTCTCGGCTCGAAACGTATCACAAGTGTTTTGTGGATCCTTGTCAGTACCGACATCACTATCGCAGAGAAATTACCTGTGATGTCTCCGACAAGTACAACCTTACCTACTACATGATCGGAAAGGCAGCGAGCTCTACATGTCGAAGTATCATGAACGAAACTTTTCAGGCAGATGATATGGGCTGTTTGCCCGAGGAAGAGACAGCTGTCAATGACAAAATGTTCCGCTTCACCTTTGTGCGGGATCCATATTCGAGGTTTCTATCCGCTTATCGTCAAGCGTTTCTAATTTCGTTCAAGCGTGGACGGAAAACTCCAGTGCCAGAGAAATATTACCCATCCTTCAAGGAACCATTTGAAAACATGACCATGGCAGACTATTTGCACCTTTTTGAGAGAGCCAGAGGTAAAGAAAAGATGAAATCCGCCATGCAAAACTTTATACTGGCATACGATGCCGAGTTCCCGTTCGACGGACACTTGAGACTGCAGGTTCCTCGCCTGGCTGCAATCGAAACTGGACGAACCCGACGGCTAGAAGGGATATTTGATACCAAAGACATCGATGAGCAATTTGCACAGATTGCGTCCATGGTCGACGCGCCTCCTCCACCCAGATCTCTCAAAGTCCACGTCCGGGACAAGGAGGTCCAGATTGATGCCACAGACCTGACTCGAAGACTGAGACGAAAGATTTGCCAACTTTCTGCCATAGACTACTGTTGCTTGAACTATGAGCTGCCAGAAGCGTGCAAAGGCGCTGTTCAGTGTCAGTGGAAAGCCGCACCTGAGAATCCGGAGGAATTGCTGATTGAATCCTTATCCCAGTATCCTCCACCAAGGGACGAATCTTCCAAGGAGACTTGTCAAGCACAACGGAAAGAATTCAATCGCGCAGTTCGGAAATTTGGGAATACATACCGCATGGTAGTTGAGAGCTTGTAGGTGAGGGGGGCAAGAATCACTGCCGAGGCCATAATGACAACCAAATGTTGTTCGGGGGAGGCATTGAAGGAGACTTGGGTGTGATCGTTCTCTTCTCCCGGCGAAATACGTTCTCAGAATAAAGCAGTTTTGCTAAAGGACCATGTTGTCTTTGCTTAATTAAGCACTCTGGAGCTCCAATCCTCTCTACCTGTTTCATATTCATAAAAGCAGCAACAATAATATTGTTGGCAAGATTCTGTTCCGGACTGGCACATCAAGTGATAGCCTTTTTCATCGTCTCAACCCAGACAGGAGCAATCGCAGCCGCAAAGTTGTTCTGAACAGGTGAAGCGTAAAAGTTCAACAGGGCAAAGCTCTTGATGTAGGGTCCCTGTCAAGCCAGCGTTCCCGGTGATATCCAGTTGCTTCAGCCCCAACGACGCACTTGACAGAGTCAAGTTGCCCACATTGCCCTCCAGATCATTCTCATCAAGCCTCAGCATCTCAAGAAGTGACAGCTGATTGAGTTCCGTAGGGATCAATGATGTCAGCATATTGCCATTCAAGTAAAGCAGACGCAATGCTGTTACAGAAACAGAGGAGTGAGAATGTGCAATCTTGGACAGCGGAAACACTCAAAACATGGAACACGTACTCGTGAGCATGCCGATTATTGCAGGGATAGTGGAAGAAAACTGGCAGTCATTCAGACGGAGCTCTTTGAGGCTACCAAGCAATCCAAGCTCCCAAGGTATTGAGCCTTCCATGAAAGTCTCATCCAGCCTCAGAATCTCAAGACTGGAAAGCTGGCCAAGTTCAGTAGGAATCAAAGATGTCAACAAGTTGTCTTGTAGGTGCAGTTCTTGCAAATCTAGTAGAGGAGGGCAGAAATCAGAAATTGAAATTGAGGCAAGCGACACTAACCAAACATGAACGATGACACGTACTCGTGAGCATCCCAATCGTTGTAGGTATAGCGGAGGAAAGCCGGCATTCGTCCAAGCGCAGCTCTTTGAGGCTACTAAGCAAGCCAAGCTCCGAAGGCAACGGGCCCTCCAAGCTATCAAGCTTGACAGACTCCCATTTCCGGAGCTTTGATAGTTGCCCTAGTTCGGAAGGGAGGCTTCCTCTCAGCTGATTCCTGTTCAGGACCTGGGAAGGAAGAATCATGTTGTACGGTTGAGTTAGTTGGTGCAGACGGGGGAAATGAGACTCGACGGACAAACCTACAAAAATTTGCAAGTTTGACATCAAACCTAGCTCCGAATTGATAGTGCCCGTCATGTCGTTGTCGCCCAACCACAATACTTCCAACTGACTGAGATTTGTGATTGTTTCTGGAATGCTTCCTTCAATCCTTCCTGACGACACATCCAAGACAATGAGAGATCTTCCCCGAGAATATAGTGAATGTAGAAGCTGAGGTGAGTGATGGGAAGGTTATTTCCGAGCATGGTTGATTGGTTGGTTTACTCACGACAAGAGAGCCAACTCCTTTGGAAGGGACCCCGTCATCTCATTCTCCCAAGGAGATAGATAATGATACGACCCATTCTCTGAGCATGTAGGACCATCATACTCCGGCCAAAACTCTGCGTCTCGCTTTGTGAACCACGTGCACTCGTCTTCTTCTGGAAGATAGGATAGCCAACCTGTCTTATCTTCCCACATTTCTCCATTTGTTGAGTAGAAAAAGGTTACCAAAGCAAATCTCTGCAAGAGCCTTTCGTTGGTGTAGTTGAGCAACAATGGGTCATTTTGGACCCATGCATAGGCCTTGGATTGTGGCGATTCAGGGTCTGAGAGGGCAGATAAGGTATATGGCGGCAGGCCATCAATAATGTAGGGAGTAGGTGCAGCAGTCGGAGCTGCGAATGTGGGAGCAAATGTTTGGTTACCAGAAGTAGGCGTAGGAGCCAACGATATAATAACGGACGGACTCATCGTGGTCGCTGGTGCGATATCCGCGTTGTTGGATCCTCCAGAGCAAGCTCCCAGACCACAAGGGATCCCCACTGCAAGGCAAATTGATACCAGGAAGAGAAAACATAACATGGCAAGCGTTCTTTTCCTCAAGAAAATGCCATCCACCTCATCCACAGCATGAGCCAAAACCAAAGGCTTAGAGCTCCTCCTATCTTGATCGACAAGTGTTGCCTCAACGAGTACCTCCGAAGGCCCAGCTTCAAGATCATCGGAAAAGCTGTCTCCTTGTGACGAGTTGGCTTGACTAAAAGAAGCTTCTCCATTCTCGTCCAAACCCTCTCTGTCCCCCAAGGTAACAATGTCTGGATCCTCAACTGGGGCTGCAGATTGGTTCAAGTTTGACTCATTCCCACCAGCTTCTGTCTCGGAAGTATTGGTGTCCTTCCTGCGAAGGCCGCGTTGTTGTTTGCCCCTGCTCCCAGATCTGTCACGAGCCTCACCACCCGAAGAATCTTGTTGTTGTTTCTTGTTGTTGTATCGCTTTTGTCGTCTTTGAGCCAATTCTGGATTGTGACAAAATTTGTCGGCTTGACCAAAAGCAACTTCGCCATTCTCATCTGTACCCTCTCTGTCCCCCAAGATAACAATGTCTACATCCTCACCTGGGGCTGCAGATTGGACCAAGTTTGACATATTCCTGCCAGTTTTGGTCTCGGAACTATCAGTGCCCTTTCTGCGAAGCCCACGTCGTTGTTTGCCCTTGACTCCAGATCCATCTAGCTCCTCACCACGGCTATGGTGGTTGTTTCCGCCCGAAGAATCTTGTTGTTGTTGTTTGTTGTCATATCGATTTTGCCGTCGTTGAGCCAATTCTGGATTGTGAGAAAATGGCTTCCCAGGAATAGCACTCGCCCTACTTGGGATGGCACCAACGGTTGCATCAGGAGGGTTTGCAGCTCCAAGAGCTTTTGCCTTGGTGGCATCAGTCTTGCCATTCATTGGGACTGCCCTTGGCGCAGGGACCATAGGTGGCTCACTTCTGTTCCCAGAAGTAGCGTCTCTTGAAGAAACATCTTTGCTTGGTGCTTCCTTCTCTCCTGAACTTGACATTTTTGTCGCACTGGTGCTGCCGCCTTCCCTCGCCGATTGCAGTGGCGTCACTTGTCTCCTCCACACCAGTTCCTTCCAGGCACAAAGACGCCTATCAGCCACTCTTCCCAAGAGGCTTTGTTAGACGAAGGGAGATTACTATGTGGTTAGAGAGGACTACCGGTATGTGTGGGAATGGACACGACTGTCGCTCGAGATTGTGGCTTACTCCTTTCTTAAGCCGTGAAGCCTCTTGGCGTTCGCTGAAAAAACCTCAAAGCCAGCCGAAGCTGTCAAAACCCCCCGAACTACTGAAGGTGGAAGAAGTTCGTCTTTCCTCAAGAGGGCTTGTAATACAGATAGATCGTGGTCGCCGTGGTGGAAACATGGTTCCTCCAAGTGCGATCTTCCGCAACTGGGGCTAACTAACGGTAGGCCTACATGTCCTGATTCCCTCGTAATCGTTACGTTAGCTAAAAGTAGTAAACTTGACTAGCAACTAGAATCGAATTGAATTGCGCCAGTAGCCTCTTCACGGAGTTCTTCAACGTTGGGCCATATCGAATCAATCCCTTTTAACGCCGTTTGCTCTTTGCCTTGAGGCGACGTCGTGCACCGGGCGCCTTGTTGACGGCACCCACACTGAAGGCGCCACCAGGATTGACAGCCGGACTGAAGCCTGCTGTTCCGACAAATCCAGGCGTCGTGGCGGCGCTCGCTGGAGGGACACCAAATCCGCTACCTGGAAAGCCAGGTGTCGCTGGTGCCGGGGTCGCCGCAAATCCAAAACCGGGAGCTGGAGCAGGTGTCGAAGCAAATCCTCCTGCCGTTCCAAAGGATGGCGCCGCGTTGGCACCCGGCTGGGGAGCCGAACCAAAGCTGAACGAGGATGCATTGGGTCCTTCACTCGCGCTAGCAGCCGGGGGGTCTGGCTTGTTGGCGGGGGGTGCTCCAAAAGAAAATCCAGCCGAAGGAGCCGGAGGTGCTGTCCCAGAAGGCGTTGCATTTGCCCCAAATGCGAAAGCTCCTGTGGAAGCCGGAGTTTGAGCCGGAGTCGCGGTGGAACTGTTCGCCCCAAATGCGAAATTGCCGGTGGGAGGAGCTGGAGGTGGGGCTGTCGCTGCGCTGTTTGTAGTTGCCCCCCCAAATGCGAAACTATTGGCGCCGGCTGGTGTTGGCGCAGCAGAGCTGTTGGTGCCAGGAGGTGCTGCTGGCGTTGAAACAGGTGGTTGTGAACCAAACGCAAAAGACGGGGTTGCGGTTGCTGGCGGTGGGTTCGCTGTTGCCCCAGCGGAAGCCCCGAATTGAAATGTTCCAGTGGCTGTAGCATTGTCATTGGTCGCTGCAGCGGGAGTGGCGCCAAACACAAACGGCTTGGAATCAGTTGACGGGGCCGGTGTTGTTGAATTCGTTGCCGTGGGTGCATTCCCGAATGGTACGCCACCTGTAGAAGTATTAGCTGCATCTCCAGAAGGAGTTTTGCTGGCATCATTTGTTGGTACTGGCGTTTTGGTCGCCGTGGATCCGAACTGAAACGCAGGGGTTGGGACAAAGCCTGGCTGCTGGGCGGCAGCAGCATCGGTAGTGGCATTCGTTCCAGCAGGGGCGGGGGTGCCTGTTCCAAATGTAAAAGCAGCAGCATCCCCGTTGTCTTTTGTTGTTGCAGCGGGGGTGGTTGTGGCGGGTTTCGAGTCTCCTGCAGCAGTGTTGGGAACTGCGGGCGGCTTGCCATCGTTGCCAGCAGCAGGCGTGGCTGCTGCGGAGGCTCCAAACGTAAATCCAGGAGTCGATGTGGCCGCGTCACTTTTGGCGCCACCAAATTTGAATCCTTCTTCCGTGTTGTTGGGAGTTCCAAATACAATGGGTTTAGTAGCAGTAGTAGTAGTAGTGGGAACAGCTGCCGCATTCGCTTCCGTCTTTTGTTCTTCTTCCTTGACCCGTTTGCGATTAAACTCTTGCAAGATATTTTCTTCTCGCTTTCGCTTTTCCATGAGAGGGTTTCGAAGCGGGCCGCCGCCAGTGAGCCGTCGTCTCTTGTTGGAGTTGGAAGGAGCTCGTGGCATGATCCGGCCCTGTACCGGCGGTTGCGTCAGTGCCATTATTACTTGTGGCGAACCATCTTCCATGCGTCGTTTTCGCATTCGTTCCAAGAGTGGTGTCTTGGGTGACGACATGGCATTATTGTAGCGTAATGGCGTAGTAGATGACGATGGAGCAGGTTGTCGTGGTGTCGTATTGGCATTGATTTTTGGAGCAGGAGGACTTTGAAATAATGGCTGCTGATGATTAGTGGGCATGGATGTTGCATTGTTTTCCTTGTCATTCTGCTGCTGCTGCATTCGTCGTTGTTGTAATTCTGCCACTCGTTTTTTGGAATTCTGTCTCGGTTTGGGAGGCGGTGTTTGAATACGCTGTTTGACGCTCTTGAATCGTTCACTCAATACTCGACCAATTTCTTCTGGATCTTGCAATGGTTGAACTCCCAGAGGAGGAGGCGGTGTTCGGACACGCGGTTCGGCATCTCGATTGTAAATGTACGTCTTTGTCTTGATTCGACCCGACTCGTAGATATCAAATTGCACCGAATTTGTGGTAGCTTTGTTGTGGTTGTTGTGTTCGGACGTTGTGCGTCGAGCTTTGGGTTTTCGCAGCACCGAAGGAGGCATGGGAGGAGGAGCCGATCGCGTCAGGGCTCTCCAACGATCTCGAAAAAACTGTTTGACGTTGATTGTCGTTTGTCGCACCGTTTGAATCACTGTCAACAGGCTCTGAATACAGCCGTCCACTGCAAATTGAGCGGCCCACACAACTTGACCCATCCCAAACGCCACTACGTCTCGCACACTGCTAACCAACCGTCGCTGGGTCGATTGAATGAATCGCACGAGTCGTTTCGTCATGGTGTTGTTGGATTTCTTTTTCTTTTTCGTCGTCTGTCGTTGTCCCAAGACGACAATATCCGGATACAATTCCATACGCTTTCGTAGTCGATACTGGTTGATGACGCGACAAAGAGGTTTCCAAAGCAACGCCAACGCTACTATCCCAGCGGTCCACCAAAACCTCGAATTCGACAGCCATGTTTCCCCAGCAATTGGAATTAGTAGCGTCGCCATGATGATGATGATGATGATGATGATGATGCAGTACACGCACTCTTCTTGAATCAAAGATTAGCCAGTAGCTAGGACTGCTCTTGTAGTCCAGACAATTGTACCGAGGACACCCACCCAAACAAAGCAACAACAAAAAGCAACAACAATGACAAGAAGGCGGCTTGTGTGGTTGTGTGGCGGTTGTCGCGAAAAGCTGGTTTTGAGTGATCGTCAAACGACTGATTATTAGTCACGTTTGAAAAATAGAAGGACCCACACTTGCCATTGATAGCTTTAACCCTCTCAGAAGGTGCACGTCAGTTGACACTTCATTTTTCTCAAAGCTCAAAGCAAGCTCCCACGATATCTTGTCTGCTTCCGAGGTTCTTGTGAAGGGAGAGTGCCAAGAACAGTGCCTGATCCAACATCTACCTATCTACATATTCACAGCAGTACCGTACTGTAGCAGAGCTAACTATGCCATCCTCATCAGCCATTTCCTTGTGGTGTGTTTTGGCTTTTCTGGTCCAGATCCAATCCTTGGTTCTGCCTCCAAGAGGAATCCACAGACGAGGCACGGCTCTGGCTTCTGATCTTGTGGATCCATCGGCGGTCAGTGACCTCGTGCAAGGTCTGGATGCGGCAATAGGAAATCCTTCTACTGCTGCTGATGAAATAGTACAAGCTTCCACCAAGGCAGTGGACATGGCAATCTCCGATCCTACCATTTTGGCAGCCGGGGGTGTGGCAACCCTGTCCATTGGCCTGGCAGCGTTCTTGGCGTCCAACAACGACAATAAGGAAGATGATGGTGCTGGTAATGAAACAGCCGTGTCGCCAGAGGTACAGGCCAAGATGCTACAGGCAGTTGCAGCGGCACGAGAAGAAATTGAGGTAGCAGAACCAGATGCCGAGTCGACGGGACCAGACGCATCATCATCACATCCAGCAGCTGAAGTGGCGTCTGAATCCAAAGAGCCAGAGCCCGAACCTGAAGAACCTGAATCTGATGTGTCAATGGAAGCCAAAGAGCCAGAGCCAGAACCACAAGAAGAGCCTGAACCCGAGGCGTCGATGGAATCTGCTAAATCAGAAGAAGATGATGATGAAGCAGAAGAAGCAGCAGAAGAAGAAGTGGCAGTCGACTTGGAAGAGGCCATTGATCTATCGGAGCGTCTGGCAGAACCTCGACAGAGAGGTCTCTTGCTGCAACGATTCTTGAACAAAAAGACAGAGCGATTGCAAAAGGCAAACCAAAAGCTAGGGCGCCAAAAGGCCGATTTGTCCAACACGGAGATTCGGCTCCAAGAAACACAGGCACAGCTCTCTGCTGTTACCAGAGCCAATCAAGGCTTGTTTACACAATACAAGAACGAAAAAGGCATTCGACAACAAGTCACGGAGGAATTGTCACAAACAAAACAAGAAATGGAAACACTCCAACAAATAGCACAAGCCGACATGGATGCCATGGTAGAAGCCAATCAACAGTTGGAGGATAAGTTTGAATTTGAACAAATGGAAAAGAAACGGAGAATCAGCGAGTTGCATGAAACCGAGTGGGAACTCGACACGACACGAAAACAACTCTACAAAACATCGGCCGAATTGGCGTCGGTCAAGGACGAGCTGGCATTTACCCAAAAGCAAGTCCAGGATACTTCCAAGTCGCTCAAGGAACTGAAGGATGATACCAAGAGCATGCGAAAACTCACGGGAAACATGTGGAAATTGTCCAAGAATCGGGTGAAAGGAATCTTTCGACGCAACAAACAGCAAGAATAGGTTCTGTGGGCCTCCCTAGGGCAAACAGTGCAGTTGCCTCGGATGAGATATCATGGTTGCCTCCTGCTCAACACAGACAAATCAATTGTGAAGGGAAGAAATACCTTGCTTCTGAGAAACCCGAGATTGCGACACGTCAACACCTGGGAGGGAGAGTTGCTTGGAATTTTGTCCTCAAAATCAAAAACAGTCTGGATCTGTTGCTACCTAGTGTTATTGTTTCTCGGCGCTATCCCATATGAATACGGCTCAACACGTGAGCTAGTCGGTCAACTGTAGTCCAAATTAAATAGTGTAACACAAGTGAGTGAATGAGTAACTTGAAAACTGTTTTAGCTTGCCAAGCGAGAGAGGCCAAGGAGCAGGCTTCGCTCCATATTACTTAGTCTGCCAAACGACCAAGGCTATTCGTAGAAGCTGTCGCTGAAGCGGAGTGCAACTGCATGTTCCACATCTCCGCATAGACTCCTCCAGGCTTGGAAAGTAATTCATCGTGTGTGCCCTGCTCGCAAACGACACCTTCCTTTAGTACAATGATGTTGTCGGCATTTCGGATTGTACCGAGTCTATGGGCAATGACAAGGACCGTGCGCTGTGCACCCAGCCGATCCAATGCCTCCTGAACACTAGATTCGGTAAGAGTGTCGAGTGCTGACGTTGCTTCGTCTGTCGATACAAGGAGAGAAAAAAGCAGCAAAGAAGCAAGTCGTTGAGTTGCAAAGTCATTCAGGTAAGATCAGCTGTACCAGCTTTCCCAGTACAAACGATGTCTCCTTTTGACTCTTACCTAACAAAACGATTGGGGGGTCTCGAAGCAAACATCTTTTGCGGAAAGAGAAGGAGAAACCAAGTAAGCAAGCCGCAAAGATCATTCCAACAGTGACTTACAAGCGCATGTCTTTGATTTTGTTTCTTACCTGGCAATGGCTGCTCTTTGCTTTTCACCCTAGGTCGCAACAAACACAATAAACAATCAATGGTCATTAGAAATTGTCCGGTACGTGCAGCAGAATAGACCCACGTACTGGCACACAAGGACACGGCGACTTACCCCACTCAATTTCAGGCCACGATCGCCCACCATAGTTTCCCACTTGTCTCCTAGACTTTCAATGAAATCAAGCAGTTGGGCATCTTTGGCCGCCTGTATCAACTCTTCCTCGGTGGCGTCTCGCTTGCCGTAAAGCATATTGGCGCGTATAGTATCGTTGAACATGCTCGCTGCCTGAGGGACCACTCCAATCGTCTCACGTAAGCTCTTTTGTTTCAAAGAACGCACATCGACACCGTTTACTTTCACAGCACCACCGATGACATCGTAGAAGCGGAACAAGAGGCGAGACACCGTTGTCTTTCCAGCGCCTTGGTGCGTGGAGAAGGTAAATCGCAATCGACAAAGTCAGCGTGATCGCTTACAAACATGCATGATATTACATAGAGAACCATCAATCACACGTTCGCGCACTCACCTGTTGGTCCTACAATAGCCGTAGTCGTTCCTCGTTTCATTTTGAACGACAGACCTTTGAGGCCCTTCGTATCGGGTTGTGTTGGATAATGGAAAACCTAACAACATCACATGATAATCAATAGTCAGTTTGCTCATTCATCATCCAACGAACGACTCTTTCATGATCTTTTGCAAGCACATTACATACCACATTGTCAAACTCCACGACAGTGTCTGGATCCGCTGCGTTGGAGGTAGGAATGTCTCTCGCATTTGGGGAATCCGTCACATCGGGATTCTCCGCCAGCAACTCGGAAAGATTGCTGAGGTCAATCATGGCCATGACAATGGCGTTGTAGACAGATCCCAGGAAATTGAGGGGTTGGAATAGATTGAGGGTGTACGTGAGGACGGCCACAAAGTCTCCCACCTCCATGCCTGGGCATTCCAAATGAGACGTTGCTTGACAACATTCCGAAAAGAGAGCCTCACAACCCGCCTCTTTTATGCAGCAATCACTTCGTTGCTGAATCCCATAGGCAGCCAACGACAAGCAATGTGCCAAACAAGCCTGCATAATGACCCGTTGTGATACATTGAGAAAGGATAAACTGGCCTGTACATTCACCGACCCCTCTTGGTAGTCTTTGACGGCATCTCCGAATCGTTTCATTTCGTAATCTTCGGCCGTAAAGTACTTGACGGTCTCAAAGTTGATCAAGGAATCGGTGCATCGATCGTGCCATTCATTGTCACTCTTGACGACTGCCTTTCGGAATTTCTTTCTCCACAAGGTCACCAGAATGGTCCATACGACGTAGACAAAGACATAGTAAAACACGGCAATTCCCAATGGAAGATACTGAAAGAAGGAAGCAAAAATGAAACAGACCGCGACGCATTCAATCATTGCCGGCAACAACCAGAGGAACAGATACTTCATCAAGGTATCACATGCCGCAATCCCACGATCCATAGATCGAATGACTTCTCCCAACTTCTTTCGCAAATGCCAATCCAAACTCAAATTGTGAATGTGCCCAAAAGTGGTTTCACTGAGCTGTACAAATGCCGCCTGTGCCACCTTGAGATACACCAGCGATTGACCTTCTCGAAAGGTGCTGCTCATCAACTGCAAAAATGCATAGGCAATGGACCACTTGATACAACTCGCATAATCCTGATGGGCCAAGGCGGTAGACGCCCACCCCAGAAGAATGGGTGACACGAGATTGCAAATTTTGCTGAGGATCACACACACCCATGTCATGATGGCTCGTACTCGATTCCACAATGCCGACGAATCCGTGGCATCGGGCCAAAAGTAGGGTTTCAACATGGTCAATAGTGCCTTGCGAGACAGAGCTCGTTTGACGGGCTCTGCCACTACGGCGGCAGCCGTGCCCCTTGTGACACACACATCGACCAGTGTCAACCCCAGGTAAAAACTAATGGCTGCCACCAAAATTTCATCGCCCAGTGTCCACTGTACGGGCACGTCATTGTACGAGTTGTAGTATTCCCAAAACAGGTTTCCAAAATAGGCCGCCACTAGCAAGACGCTGGCCAAAGTGTAGTAGAGTCGTTGAAATAGTCCAAAACGACTGCGCGGCAAATCTCGTGCTGTCACGTAGCCTCCCAAGATCAAACAAAATACCGTAGAATCCTTGAGCGAGGACGAAAAGATACTATTGCTGGATTTCCATACAAGTGGCACGGCCAAAAAGACCAACGCCAAGAGACCATGACAAACCAAGGAGATGCGAGGCAATAGAAACGCAGAAAAAGGAGTGGGAGCTGTAGAGCTGCTAGAAGTAGCAGCATCACCATCAACCAAAAGTCCCTGCGTCTCTTCATCTGTAGAAGCAGCCACGTCTTTGGTGTCCTTGCTTGGATCCACACTGCCATAGCTCTTGCTATTGCTAGAGTCGACAGATTTCGTTTTCTTGTCCTCATCCTTGGGTGACCCTTTGCTGGCCACTTGAATGAGATCAATGGAAACGCGTAGCAGCTGCAGGGTAATGGCAGAGCAAGATGCCAAGACCACCAAGGTCGACGCCTTTGTGCTCGCCACAAGTTCCTCGGGAATGTCAGACGACATGTTTTCCAACAGCTCTTCCAACAAAAGCAGAGAATGCTTTTTATGCCGAATGAAAGATATGTACGGTACTGAAAGTGGGAGGACCTTCGATCTGGATCTTTTCGGTGCGATTGTTTGGAACTTCTAAATCCTTCTCTGTTGTTCTTCTTGATCAGACTCAAAATTCGACAAGTATTCGACTTTCAGAAGCTGATTCGAATTGAGTCGAATAGATTGTTCCGAAGGGAAAGATCCAAAAAGCAGGGACGATGACCGAGATCTTGGAAGACAAAAGACACAGAAGACCATTCGACAGAAGATGGAAGAGGCAGTGGCACAACTGGTGAAATCCTTGCAAGAAAACACCAAACACATTTCCGAAGAAGAAGAGAGAACCAGTCATGTGGATTCCATTTAGAAGCAGATCAGGGATCAAGTCCTCTCACCGGCCTTATTAAAGGAGGCCGACAACAAGGATGATGATGAAGAAAATGAGAATACTACCACCACAAGCGGAATTTCCATGTCAGATGCCCAACGTCAAACCATGGCCACGTTAGCCTGTCAGAATGCCGCTGCATTGTACCGCACCGAATCCACCTTGTATCGAAATCGCGCCATTCACGATGGACGGGCATTGGAATTGCTGAAACGAGTGTCCCATCGAAAGGAGGAAGATTGGCATCGCGTCTACGTCGTACCCGTCCAAGACGAAGTTCAACGATTGGAACAACTCGCTCAGGTTTCCAAAGAAACGGCCAAACAAAAAGAGGACCACTTTGTGACCTTGCGAAATCAAACCCACGCTTCGATTGCCATTATTATGAACGAAATTGCCAAACAATACAATCACGAGTTTCAAAAAGCACTGTCCGCCACGACCACCACAGCGGATGGATCTTGCACAACAACAGGACTGGAATGTCTGCAACAAACGGAATCTCTCATGAAAGAACTCCACACCAAATCCAAATCCTTTCCGCAACTGCGTCAACCCGTACCCTCTCACAATAACAACAACAACAATACACAGTCTCTGGAATACCTGGACTGGCTGCGAACGGAATCCTCCAAACAACTGTTGGAAGATCCCTCCACATCTCCGTTTTATCGTCTGTTGCATTCCATCCAACGGCATTCATCACTCAGCACTACTACTACCGACAATAATACCATTCAAATTGAAGTGGCTCCGCTCAAGAGCTACGCCCGCATTGTGCAAAAGTCACAGGACAAGTACAAAGGCGACTTTTCACAAGTCACGGATTATGTGCGTGGCATGGTCGTCTTTTCCAATTTGATGGAACTCCACCGTGGCCTGCAAGCCATAATGGCGAATGACGATACGGTCCGAGTGGTCCGCATCAAGGATCGAATTTCCTTGTCGTATGATGCCACCATTGCTTGTCACGCGGGGTGGTCGGGATGTCTTGATGAATTTGCAATTTATTAATAAGAATGATGATGAACATGCAAAGGACGACGACAGTACTACCAGTAGTGGGTTCATTGTGGAATTGCAATTCCATTTGGCGTCCTTTTTACGAATCAAAAACACAAAGGGTCATGTCAGTTACGAAGCTGCCAGGAGTGTCCACATGTTCAACCCAGCCTCTACGTCTCGAATATTTTGCTGGCAAGATGATGATGAGGATGATGATGACGACGAAGAAGTGGAGCTTGCAAAGTTGTTGCAAGAGATTGCAACTGGTGTCACCACTCGGTTGACGTTGGATTACAGCACGGCCTTGTGGAAACCGGAAAATCAAAAGCGACTAGCGGATGCCTTTGCCGATAGGCGATGCTCGTTGCTCTGCATATCCTTACGGTCCTGTCGTTGTGGCGACGATTTCATTGACATGTGTTTGAACCAAGAGCGGCGCCCGCATGTTTGGGAGGAACAAGAGACGGAAATAGTCTACCATACAGTTCGGTTGGGATCCATTCTCCACGAAGGAACCGCCGGCCGCATTTCTCAAAAGGGTGTCAAGTTGCTTCTGTCGCATGGCAACACATCCCTGAGGGTTTTGGATCTCGAAGGGTGCTTGGATTTGGACTGGTACGAAAATTGCGGAGATGAGGTCGTTAGCACAATTGAAGCACACATTGCGACTTGCCTCGAACAGGGAAAGGCGCCACTCCCACAACTGCAGGAGTTGAATTTAAAGTCCACGGGCTTGACACCCAGTGGTGCCAAGAGGATAGCGGACATGCAGGAACGGGGACAATTGCCTCAGCTCCAAACGATTCTAATGGATGAGGACCTGACAAAACCGCCACGCCGCGTTGGACCAAAGTAGCTATAGATGAATCGAATGGTGCAAATATGAAGTCGTCGCTTAGTGGTCCAAATACCGTGCCCTGCCCCGAACCGTACTGTACCATGCCATTGTTGGCTGGAGCTTGGAAGACAGGGACCAATTGTCCTGTGCATTGGCTATCCAGCTAGCTAGTGCACAAAATAATTAGTAAACCACATTTCTTTTATTCACGTTTTAATCTGAACTGCAAACCACTTGCATTGAATGCTGGGATGCTTTTCTTGATGATGGCAACAGTATCCATACAAACATGGATACACCATATTTTTCTCTTGTATGCAAACGAAAAAGGAGGAGTCTAATACAGCCTGGAAGCCATCTCAGCGAGGGTGGTGCGTCAAGGTGTGACACCGAGCTCCTTCCCTACCAATCCAGCCAAACCAATCTGCAGCAAACACCCCACAATGCTTTCTTCCACTGGACACACCATTCAAGGTGACCAGGAGCTCAGAAAACTCTGCCTTACTTCACTAATGATCACTGCCTAGAAAGCTCCAGCCTCAGCAAGCTCCAAATCTCCAGCAGCCATGACATCATAGACACAATGATCCTTTTGGTCTCCCCAGTGTTCGCAGACCTTCTCCGCAGCTGCCTGGGCAATCGATTCACCAAGACGACGGCCAACCTGTTTCATACTGGGCATATTGCAGGTGACTGGGTGCTGTGGATGCCTGTGTTTGTTTTGGAAGAGCTTGGGCTCGCTTTCCAGAACCTGCCATTCCTTTCCAAAGGCATTAGCATCTGTCAGGGCAGTTCCATTTCGGGCAAGCCACTTGCCAGTCTTGTAGTCTCCCAAAAGACCCTTGCTATTTTCATACTCCAAAGGGGTAGCGCCAACTGTTTTGATGCTGAGAAGGTCCTTGAAGGACTGGAGGACAATCTGTTTGCCCTTGCCAAGCTCAATCACAAACATATCCTGCTTGGAGCTCTTCTTCTCGTGCTTGATGGTGTATTTGTCAAACATGTCCAGCTCGGCATTGGAGATTCCATTCAGCATGTAAGAACCATACTCACCAACTTCCAAAGTATCCTCTCCAATGCGAACAGCGGCAGACTCGATGTAAGAATACTGGTTGCGTGCCTTTGTCCTGATGTGGATATCCAAGCCAGTTCCCTCATCAAACTCGGGGCTGCTGATAAAGATCAAGTCACACTCTCCATGGAAGTCATACCATTCATTCACCCATGTCTAATATGCAAACAAAGGAGACAACACTTTCTTGGTCAGTCCAAACAAAATAATTCATCAACTGGGCTGATCGTAGCCTGCTGTGTCGTACCTTGAAGTGTGGGTCTCCCATACCATAAGCAGCTCGAAGCTGTGCTTCTGTATATCCCAGGGAAATGTGCAACTGGTATGTGGCACCCGTTGGAACTGGCTGGTTGCTTGGAAATCGACCCACCTTAACGAAGTATACACCAGGCGCATTGAAGGTGTAGGTCAAGTAGGAGTCATGATGGTGGTTTGAGCCAGGATCAGTTGGCCTCTGATCATCATCGTGTGCAAGGTAGTTTCCATTTGAATCATACAGAGTGACATATGCATCATAGTGGTTTGGATGTGTGGTATGGTCAATGTCAAAGATGGAAGCAATCATTCCTGAATCGGGGACCACAAATGAGTAAAAGTCATTAGTACCATCCCCAGTACCATCTATGGTTACCCAAGGAAGTGTAGCAGAGTTTGCAATAATAGGATTGTACCCAAGAGTGAAGGCAGCGACTGGGATTTGCTGCAAAGTACAAAGTAGAAGGCCAAGGTAAGGGGGAGGACATGTGATTTAGGTTGATGCCAAGAACAAGGACAAACCTGAGCAGTGTTA